GCCGGAGCGTCACTCAGGAGTTCATTTTAGGGGAAAATGAGTTCATTCAGGAGATTCAATACTGCTAACTTCTTAAAAGAAATTGAGATTTCGGTGTGTTTGTCTTACACAATTCAATATTCCTTTAATATTTGACAGAAAAATGGACTCTTATTCCCTTTGGCACTGGTTCATATACAGTATATCTAACTGTGTCAGGGAGTGTTTGCTGGGCTCACTGTTACTCAATAGGACATTGTTTTACGATCGTGCTCCCTCACCTGCTTTGGTTAAAGGTGTGTATCTTGACCCGGTGGTGTGTGTACTTCTGCAGGATTTTCTTTGTGTCTTCGTCTGTGTTGAAAGAGTTCATGAGGACCAGGGGGACGTCTGTGTTGTAAGTCTTGTTCAGGTGCTGTAGGGTGAAAAAACAAAGTGTATAAATGCATTTATCCATATTTATCCAATAAAGAAAAAAGAGAAGTAGGCAGTAGACGGTCATCAAGTGTTTCTTAACAGTGTAAGGGCTCAACGGTGTTATAATCAGAGATGATGCTAACTGTCAAGGACCATTTCACATAGTAAATATGCCTTTTAATTCAGGAAAATTAAAAGGCAACAAATATTTTTTGGATATTTGGAAAAAATATTTGGAAAACTGGCTGACTGGAGAGCTAATAATGGGTCTGAAGGAGGACTTTTGTGAAGGCAATGAAACACTCAAAGCCTCTTTGCAGAAATTGATGGTCAGGTTGGGCCGTTTACCTCATCAACAACCAAACAACTTTGTGCTCTCGCAAGTAATGTGACCTGATCTGACACAGATGACATTTTAAAAAGGAAACAGACAAATAAATGAAAATCTCTATGCCACACTTCCATTTATGTAAAGTATCCATCAAAACATGCAAACCGGGAGCCACATTTGGTGAGTCTGCCTTGTAGTGAGTGACACTGTTAGACACTTCTGCCACTGCCTTTTAAAGGCACGGTGAGCGTGCACTTGCTGGTACAACCCTCTCTTAGATGCTGTAGATCAGGGGTGCCCAATCCCGGTCCTCGAGAGCTACCGTCCTGCAGCTTTTAGATGCATCCTTGTTCCCACACACCCGAATCAAATGAATGGCTTGTTATCAGGCCTTTGCCAAACATGACGGCATGCTGAAGAGATCAGACCATTCGATTCAGCTGTGTTGGAGTAAGGATGCATCTAAAAGCTGCAGGATCGTAGCTCTCGAGGACTGGGATTGGGCAGCCCTGCTGTAGATGCTTCAGTAGCGACATGACAGTTAACACAGTTTGACACAAAACTTTATGATCAATCTTTGCACATGTTTGAGGTTCTGATGCATTTGTAAGTTGTCAGAACAGGGGTCACACCAAATGTGAGACAACACCTGGAAGTGGTCAAGAGGTGCACAGAGCAACAGGCTTAAAGGAAAGATCAGCTGATCTTAAAACAGCTTTTCTCTGGGTTTTTAAGTCTGGATTTGAGGAAAGCACTTTGTATTCAAATTACTTTGAATTTAACTGCATATAAAACTTTTTCGCCACTGTGTTTAAATAGATCTTCAAGTGTCCTTGTGACATTTGGAATTTGACAATTCAACATTGCAAAAACATTTGAATTTTCAGATCATCACAAGACAAAAGGAAAACTGGCCCACACACCTGAGTTTTCAACCAATAACTCTGTACCTTGACTGTGCGATTTGAATGAATACAAAGGATGTAAATTACACCTGAGTAGAATGGGAAGCAGTTTCTTTATTTCGATAACAGAAAATTAAAATGAGTAGAGGAGGCGGAGGATGAGACGCGTGCTGTGAATGAGTGGGGCTAAGATGATGTGAGGAATCAAATTTACTGCCTGTGACAGTTACAACGAATGAGTGGGCTTTTCTAAGCTAAAGTATGAACGTCATATTTCCATTTATTAACCAGGATGGGTGTTGGCTGGTCATGAACTTTACACAGCTCTTTTAATTTAACGTTTTCTTTATATGCAGTGGTTTATGCAAAGGTTAAATTACATCCTGGTTTTTATCAACACTGTCTGGAACCGGATTTCTGTGAGCAAATAATAAATCTCCACTTATGTGTTTAGTGTGGCACATATCAGGTTAATCTGAAAATGATTTAGTGAATTCCTCCATCTACCTTATGCTTTAAATAGCCATAAATATATATTTTTTAAATTTTTATCTGACCAACAGGCCAAGAAAGGAATTAGACAAGTAACTTTGCTTATGAACAAAGATAAACCATCTGCTCCATAATGATCATTTCTCCTGATTGTTTTTCGGTTACACATTAAAAAGACTACATACAAGTTAAGACCTCTGTGGCCCTTGTTTGGAAACATGTATTAGACACAGTCTCCATTGAATCCTCAAAGCAAAAGAGGTTGTGGTTGTCCTGCACCCCTCCCCAGAGGGACAATCAACACTAGAAATATGAACCATATGAGCCTAGCGTTGTGGTACAAGCAGTGAGATTCTGTTGTTACTGTAGCAAAGAAGCTTTTCTTGACTAAATGTAGCCACAACTTTTATGGGTTTTGTTCAGTACTTGCATGAGATGAGCACATGAGCTGGTATTTCTAAAGCCCTTTTCCACTCTTAGTGAGCACTCAAACCAATTCTACTACAAGCCACGTTTACAGTCATGTAATGCTTTATTCTGCACACAATAAGCACTTTTTGAATCAATCCCACTCTGGCAAGAACCTCAAGTTTCCCTTGATACATCCATCAAAGGAAGCTTCGATGTTTTGACTGCAGGAGCCAGAAATCAATTAGTGGATGACCCGCTCTACTTCCAGAGCTGCTGTAGATATGCTGATCGTGTGTGTGTCTGTTAACAAAGCCCTAATTGTTGTGAAACTGCATTATTAGAACCTTTATTTTACCAGGATGTCTTCTACAAGAGAGACCTGACCCAGGCAGTAACTTTACAGGTTTTCCCTCTTTCACACATCTTTAACTGAACTTGCTAACTTAACAAATCTGCTCTTGAGGGAGGCACTCAGGTGAAAGCTGTAAATCTTCAGCAGCCAGGCGGCGCCTGAGTCGGAGCTTTGTCCGACCTTGTTACGTCCGCTCTCAGTGAGAGGGTACATGCTTCAGCTCTAAATTAAACATGCATGATTCAGCGGGATGGCTGAGAGGTGCGTTCTCCTGCAGGAGGGCCTGGTTAAGGGGGTCTGTGTGTGCGTGTGTGTGGGGGGTATCCATTTTTCCCCCTTTCTCAATAGGTCGATTCAGTCAGCATGTAATCTGACCAGACTGAGCAGAAAATGGAGAGCAGTGCCTCTGACACAGAGAGCAGTGTGCTGGGGGAAGAGGAGTGTCCCCGGAGGCTGTTATGAAACACTGAAACACTCCGGTAACGTACAGCTCCCAATTAAACTCAGTTATACAACACTATGAAAGACTTTAATATTACTCACAGTAGATTCCCTTACAGTGGTCACAACTAACGCAAACCTCGTTTAGAAAATAACTTTTCTTCCTACATCCCCCTGAAAGGCCGCTTGAACATGTGGTTTACTGTTTATTGAGATTAACACAAACGAACTGAACGATTAAGTGCTGCAGAAATAATGCAGGATCGGATCCAAATAATCACACCAACTCCTCTCCTCCAGCACACAGACATCTCTGTTTCCCGGCCAGTCGCCAGCACTGGCCGGCACCCTGAGATTTCACACTGAACCCCTTTCAGAAGCCCCTCAGCTCTGGTTCACAGAAGCACATGGCTGCATGAAGCCAGGCTTGTCTCTGGAGGATGATACGCATGCCGTGTAAGACTGGAAAAAGGCAGAGGTAAATCCAAACCCACCCCCGTGAATCATCTGGGTTTTTTGCCGTGCTCTATAGTAAAGTAAGAAACATCGAGACAACACAAACCCTCAATACACAGAGCAAATGTTTGTATTACATCAGGCTACACATCACTTCCTACTCTGTCTACTCTGATGTCTGAGCCACATCATGAGTGCTGGTGTGGCTGCAGACCTGAAGGTAACACCCAGCTGTTCCCAAATCTGTGCCACACTAACAATTTCATATGAAAGAAGGAGCTCTCAGTAATTATCCACACTGATGGACTGAATCTGCAACTTTAGTAAGAAAGTTTTAAAAAGTTGTCAAAAGTGTTCCTTCTGCCTCAACTGAACCACCATTTAATACCAAATTACATTTCTATGAATAGGTTCTTGTGCCTGAAAGTCACAACTGAGGTTTGATTTCAGGCTTTCCAGGAATACACATTGTTGCAACACTATTGTTACCGGCGTCAGGGCTGCCTTACTACAATGAGGGGCGGTCCTAGTAGATTTTCACGTCACAAAATAATAATTAAAATTTAACAAAATTTAACAAAAATCATCACTTTAAAATTTTACTAGCTGTTAGTGGGAATTATTATCATCTTCTTCATCTTATTTAAATGTTGATAATTCAGTAATCTCAGTATTTTACGTGCTTCTGCACAGCAAACAATGGACAACCGTACCCTCAAACACACAATAATAACATGGACTGAACCACCACTCACAACCACTAGCACTTTATATACCTCTGTAGAAATTATCCACATATCTCACTTATCTTAACTGCACTACTGTATAGCTCTGTGTAAATAATCATTCTGTACATACGATAATTTTTAATCCTACAACTGTTTATAACTTGCATAGTTCACATTTCTGTATAACTGTATATCTCAGATTTCTGTATAGTTTTTTTATTTCATATTTATAGCCTGTTCATAGCCTGTACTCACTACAGCCTGTACATACTTATAGTTATAGAATATTCATAACATACTTCATACCATGTACATTATAACATACCATAATAGACCCATTTCTGTAACCTACTTACATATCTATATTATTGCTAACATATATTGTAATATATCTATATCACTAAAGCACTTCTAGATGGATGCAAACTGCATTTCGTTGCCCTGTACCTGTGCATGTGCAATGACAATAAAGTTGAATTCTATTCTAATTCTATTCTAAACAAACAAATGAAATATTGCACATCCACAGGGAAAATGTTAGTTAGTTCTTATTGTAAGACGACCTTAGTCTGCTATCACTTTACTGTTAAATGGTATTACATTGGCAATTAGCCTACATGCAATCCGTTTGTGAGGTAGTGTGGCTTTGTTGCTTGTGGGATATAAAAACACGTCTCACAAAATTTCTTTCAATCAAGGCTTTTAGAGTGGAGCTTTTCTACCTCTATCTGCTGCACTGTGAGGTCCAGGAAGGTGTTCTCGTTACGGACGCTGATCAGGCTCTTGGGGCCCTTACATCCCATGCTGGTACCCAGGCCTCCATTCAGCTTCACCACCACCAGTTTGTTCAAGCTGTTGGCCACATTGTCCGGCAAGCCTCGAGCGGCAATCTTATCATACGGCTGAATCTGGAGGAGAGAAAGGAGATGGCTGCGGGTCAGGAAAAAAAGCAAACAAACAAAAATAAAGCAAATAAATTCTTTTAATTCTGAAAGTGCTTACAACTGCACAGCCTCTGCATCCCACTTCTCACAGATCACCTGTGACTGACCAACCTTTCTCGTTCTTTTACATTTTTCGGTTTTTGCAAGCAAACTGATAGTCTTAAGTTCTTTACAAAAGCAAAACAGAGACATTAACAGCTTTGAGCGTGGGCGGACTAATTACCAGCTGAGCAATGAAACGGGCTGACGTGATATGGAAATGTGAAAATGTCAGAAATTGTTAACTTGATCTGCAGCAAACTGCTTTTGGGAAAAGTGCATACAATACAAACAGACATTCTGCAACTGCTTCTCGAGCGAATGATGCAGAAAATAGTCATTAACAAAGCTTGATACACAACACAGCAAGTTTATACATACAGTACACAGCAGTTCTGTTGATTTATTGGAGTATGGTGTGTAAATGTACATTAGAGGATCAGCAATGCAGCTCTCACATCGGCGTTTCTACCCAACTGCTGTCGCCCACAGATGATGATTATATAAATATATTGTGTCAGCTAGGAACATGTAAACCTGCAGTTCACCCCTTTTCCCACCATTATTTCTTCTCAACTTTAATCAAGAAGCTAAATTTTAACCATATGTCGTGATATTTTGCAATGTTCCAATGCGATTGATCCCGTCTGTGCTTAAATCATGTTCTGTGCAGTTTTATCATGCGATTAATGCGTCAGCACTGATAAGGCCAGATGTCATCCTGCCTGCTCTTCCTGTTAAAATAACAGAGTAGCTGATCAGTAATAGTGGACAAACAGCAGACCTCCTGCTGGAAACGGTCTCTCTGCTGTTTATCCCCTTTGCTCGCCACACACAGAGGATGAGGTTACAAAACACAACACACAAAAATGATGCAGCTGCTACCCGCTCTCCGTCCTTCACAGAGACGGGCATCGTAAAGGACAAATGGATGGCTAGAGGCGGTAAAATGTGTTTACTGACTTGCATTAAAGGAATGGAGATGATTATTGTGCATAACAGCGCAGACAGATGAAATCCCTGCAAGTATTGGGTATCAAAAAAGTCCAGGAGTGAAGGAAGAGAGGCTGTTGACGTGAGGTTATTTACAACGAGTGAAATGTTTTCAGCCGATTTCCCCGTCCTATCCCTGTCCCCCCGGAGGGAAATGTCTCCCACACGCTGATGTTCATTTCCCTTTCTGGAGAAAACAGACGGGGGTTACTTTTACTTTTGACTCCTGCGTGTGTGTTGATTCCAGCTACAGCCGGGCAAGTTAAAACCCCATTTGTTGACCAGGGAACATCTCACTGACCACTGACTGAGAAATGTGCTGAATTTGCTCTTCACCATTTCCTCTAACTGAAAAGCTGCTGTCAGAGGTGAACACCTAAAAGAAATCTGCAGAGTATTATATCGACCGCAATGAGCCCACTGTTCGATTACAATTATGAGGGCGTCAGCAGGATTTGTCATGTTACACAGTTAAATTATGGTTTTCACGAGTCGAAGGAGAAAGACATTTTCTCACTACACTGAGATTACTAAGCACAGTGGAAGCGCAACACTACTGTCACTAGGAGACAATATTAGGAGACAAACACTGGAAATATTTTTGTGGGGACAATCACTCGTCTTCCTTTTAGAAAAGGTTCAAAGAAAACAATTCAAACATCCCCGGACATGAAATTACTTTCAGCTGTTACTGAGTCAGAGTTGTGCATTTTCCCATCAAGTCGTTTAAACATTTGTATTTTTCCATTCGCCCATCATTCAAAGTTTCTCTTTTTTTTATACAAATGAAAACTCACCACTGCCATTTATGCATAAAGATATTCAAGATGTTCCAAGCCACAAACATCTTCTACAGAAAACAAACCTCGGGATCACAACAATGCACGAAATAATCCGCAACCTCATCTCATCTTTTGCAAACCGCACGCACACAAAACACTATGACCTCTTACAGCTCCAGTGCTCTGTGCAGCACAGCACTGAGTCTGACTTTTTTTTTTTTTATCCAGCATTTTTATTACCGTCAGCAAATAATCTTGAAGATGAGATTTAAACGCTCAGCCCAAGGGGGGTAAGCGGTGCAAAGTTCACAAGTTTGTCCTTGTAGAAATGCTGAAAATGTTTCATACGTGTGCATGTCCATGCTGGGAAGAGACTCAAGGGGTAACAATGAAGGTGACCAGTCTATTTAGTTTATTCTTGAAAAAGAAAAGAGAAAAGAAAAGAGAAAAGAAGAAAAGAAAAGAAAAGAAAAGAAAAGAAAAAGAGAAAAAAGAAAAGAAAAGAAAAGAAAAGAAAAAGAGAAAAAAGAAAAGAAAAAGAGAAAAAAGAAAAGAAAAGAGAAAAAAGAAAAGAAAAGAAAAGAGAAAAAAGAAAAGAGAAAAAAGAAAAGAAAAGAAAAGAGAAAAAAGAAAAGAGAAAAGAAAAGAGAAAAGAAAAGAGAAAAGAAACTTCCACAATTGTGTTGTTTTGTTTCTGGATGACTTGTCTCTCTGTCATGTTTTTGCAAGTCCAGCATGTCTGAAGCGCTAATAATCACACCTCCAGGTTGGAGTGAACAGAAGTTAGCTAACCAGCACTGAAGAAGAAGATTTAATTCACCAAACTGCCACATTAATAAAGCTGTATAATAATGATCTACACTTAGATACATTTATATGTAATAAATGACTTTCTTGCAATATATTGAGTATTGCAGTAATTCAAGTGCTTCCTTTGGCTGTAGTTTTTAGGAAACGTTAGCTAACCATGTGCCCTCTTATTTCAGTTCCTCTCTGTCTCGTATGCATATATCATCTCCACAGTCTCATTACAGTCTGTCACTGTCACGACTTTGATTTCATTTTATGTTCTCCGTTTCCAATTCTTGCCTCATCACTTTTCTCTCCCAAACCTTATCATCTCTCTGTCTCCGTCTTTCTTTATGGAAGCCTTATCTTTCTGTGAAGCCACATCCTTTTGCTCCTTATTCCTATTTTCCTGCCCTACTCTCCCATCTTTAATCTTCTCTCTCTGTGTCTGCAGCTTCTGAGATTGTTAAGGACAAAAAAGAAGAAGAAGGAAAAAGCAGCTAAGAACTAAAGTAACATCATCATTTACTTATCGTGTATAAAAACATATCACACAGAGACAAACCAAACTGGCTTATCCTGTGCTACTTCTATAAGAAAAGTATTTCTTAAGAAGAAGCCAAACATTTTTACTTTGTTTGTTTAGCTTGCAGAGTGGCGTAACAGCTGACAGTGAGAAACAGAGTCTGTGGTAAGAAAGATCAGGTTGTGTTCTTTGAGCTACTGTACCGAAAAACACTTTCCAGAGTTCTGTTTATTCCATTTATTTTGTGACACCTGATGAACATGAAAGCACGCATGAAACTACTGGAATTTTAAAAATGTTATAGAAAAATCACTGTTTAAACACAGCTCATGAGTAGTAACCAATGTTTTAATAAATCCTTTGCAAGGTTTTGTTAA